GGGGGGACAACTGGGAAGACACTGAGATGTAAAAAACAAATAATTGTAAGCAAATCATGTAACATGATGTTTGACAAGCACAAATCAAATGTAGAGTGAAAAACTAATAACATGTATTTTTTAAAAAAGAAACAGAAGTAAACAAGTGGACATCAAATAGCATAATGTCAGAGAAACAATAAGAGAAAAACTGATAAAAGTTACAGTACTGTGAAACAGAGAGAAACATTGCTGACATTATGACGAAACCCTTAAGGGCACAAAGACATATAGAGATAACCAAGGAAATGGGTATGAGTTTTGCTCAGGTGTAAATTAGGAGGGGTGTCAGAGTATAAAATTTACAGGCCTGAGCAGAACAAATGTCCTAATGAGCAGCCATGATGATTAGGTGTGTCAAAATGCTGAGTCACTGTGACTCAGGAGGGCTGGCTCAAACATGATGCAACATCTGTGCTGATTGGACACAGCCAGATGCATAAGTGTATATATGTGGACTGTGCAGAGAAGATGTATTCCTGCTCTTCTGATGAAATCATGGTGCCATGCTGTCACTCTGTATACAGTGGTGCCCCGCATAACGAGCGCTTCGTTTAACAACGAATCCACACAGCCATGTGTTTTTTGCAATTGCAAAAGTGATTGCATTGCAATGTTTTAAATGGTAAAACACTGCTTTGCGATGATCGGTAAGCATTTCACTTACCAATTTTTGCATAGCGATGTTTTTAGAACAGCTGATCGGCGGTTCCAAAATGGCCGCCGGGTAAATAAAATGGCCGCCCACTGTGTTTTTGCTTGTATTCCTCGCTTACCGGGCAGCAAAAATGGCAGCCGCATGGAGGATTTTCGCATAACGGTGAGTTTTTTGCCCACAGGAACACATTAAACATGTTTTAATACATTCCTATGGGCTTCTTTGTTCCGCATAGCAACGAATCTGGATAGCGATAATTTTTCTGGAACGGATTATCGTCGCTATGCGGGGCACTACTGTAATTGTAAATATCCTGTAAATACACGTCTGGTGGTAGAAGAAGTTGATCGTGTCTGTGTGAGTCATTTTGCACAAGGACCTTGAAGTTACTCTGCTAAGATTTTCCGCGTGTTCACGCACTAACAAAATCCTAGTGGGATTTTATTGTGGAGTTACTGAAAACACATTAAGGCACAGTGGCAAATTACAGAGAATTAATATGGCATCAGTCATATGTCTAGCTGACTACTGGTCAAATGTTAATCATGGGACTAAGTCATTATCGGCACCTTGTTAAGTAGCTGCAGTTCACCACTACAATTTATGGAATTGTGCATCTGCCTAAGCTTCTGCCTAGTGTATGCAGTGGAAAGGGGAGAAATGGCGAAAGAGTATACCGGCAGCAGGGCTGCAAGATACCTTTCATTGCCTTTGGTCCTGAAATCCTATTGGCAGTTAAACTGGGTTATTGGGCTTGACACACCAAAAATCTAAGTCACTATAATGCGTTTTAATGGATACAAATCTCATTTGAGAGGTCTCTGACCAAAAGAAATAAACATGTGGCAATAGCAGCATGCTAGTCCTACTTCTCCACCATCACTTTGTCCACACAAAAAGCAATGAGTCTGAAGCAGAAAGCCTCTGATACCAGCCTGTCAATCAGTGACCGAAATTTGAACAGTTTCTTTCAAAGATAAGTCCATCACTATAGCTACTGCTGTACATCTCTAGGGCTTTTGAAATAGGCTTGACAACCAGCTTTCTCTCTCCCTACTTTATATTTCCCAGAAACAGGGCCAGACAGAAGACATTTTGCTGCTGGAGGCAAAAGACAAGATCTGCCCCCATGCATTCTATATACAGAAATCTGAATTGGTAGTTATGAATTTCACTTTGAAACTCAGAATGTAACAGCACTCTCCACCACACCTACAGCAATAGTACAGTTTAGAAAGTCCAGGCAAGGTCAAGGACCTCTATCTTCCAACAGAGGGGGACAGTTTGAGGACTGATGCTGCTGCCCCGAGGCAGCCTTAGATTCCCTCTCTGCTGTCCAAAACAGTACTTCTCTGCTGTCCAGTGGCAGGGTTGGCCCTGCCCAGAATCAGGTCATGTGCAGCAAGGGAGATGGATCCACTAGTACAAGGGTGGGCAAGTCAGATGTTCAACTAGCATGTGAGTGCAGGCCACCAGCATCCAGAGGTCACCAGCTGCCCATTAGCAGAAAAATTAACTAGTTAATTCATCAGATGCTCTCTTTCCCTTGATTTAAATATATGGTAATTGTGAGGAAAAGACTGGAGTTTCCAGGAAGAAAAGCAGTCCTCCTCTTGCTCCACCTGAGCTGGGAAATGGGGAGGCTGAACAACAGCAAGAAGGGAGCAGCTTCCTACTTCTGATAATGTAACATTTAACATACCGTCATGTTTTTATGCTATTAAATGTAATGTATTGTATTCCACTATGTCTCCCACTATATTTTACAGTATTTTGTTTTGCATTTTTTAACTTATTGATGTTACATTTTGTTATTCTATTATTCTTCTGTTCAGTTGTAAACCATCCAGAGTGGTCTTAGCTGCCAGAATGGTGGCATATAAATAAATAAATAAATAGGTAGGTAGGTAGGTAGGTAGGTAGGTAGCTAGCTAGACAGGGAAAATCTGAAACTTGCTGTCAGAGCAGACAGAACTGAGTGTGATGGACTCATTGTCTGATTCCATATAAAGCAGTTTCCATCTCCACACAAATTACTTCTGTTTGTTTTGGTTTTGCCTGCTGCTTTACTTGCTAAGTTTTTGTCTACTGAACTATTTATTCCTGATTTAGTGTTCATTTTTAATCATTTAAAAGGTTTGACTTAATTAAAATTTTTGCCATGGGCTGACACAGAAAGAAAAGTTTAATATAGCCATGGCTATGCAGATTCCCCACTGCCCCTTCTTTGGCCTGTCCAAAGTCTAGTTATTAAAATCCAAGGTGAACCATAAGTACAAAGTGATTCCAACAGGGAAGAAAAGCAATTTTGTTCACGGTAAGTGATCTTCTATTGCACTGCACTCTTGTGCACAGATCAAAATAGGACTCTTGTTTTGATATGACTGTTGACAAGATTCTCTCATTTAAAACATATTATTTATTTGTACCCTGCATATCTATCAGAACAGCTGACATGGAGAGGATTATACATTAATAATTTAAAGCAAACCTTGCAATGTAACAATACAAGACAACATAAAATAACAGAGTACAGGAGTAAATTTACAGTGGTGCCTCGCTTAACGAGCGCCTCGTATAGTGACGAATCCGCATAGCGATCCCTTTTCCAGGATCGCTAATGCAGAGGCATCGTGTCGGCCTCTATGGCCGAAACTCGCATAGCGAAGATCGGTAAGCGTTTCGCTTACCGACCTTCGCTTTGCGACCCGTGGATCAGCTGTTCGGTGGGTCAAAAATGGCTGCCGGAACAGCCGAAATGGCCGCGCGCAGCATTTTCGCGCCCTCCCCTCGCTTACCGAGGGCGTGAAAATGGCTGCCGGCTATGGGAAGACTTCATTAAACGGTGAGTTTTCTGCCGATTTGGAACGCATTAAACGATGGCTTTTTTTGTTCCGTTTAACGAAGTATTCACATAGCGAAGGTTAATCCGGAACGGATTAACCTCGCTATGTGAGGCACCACTGTATTTTAAAACTGTAGACAGAATGCATACAGTGATCCTGCAATGAAATGCTGCAGTGCAGGGTGCTCCTATTCAAGCAGTGAGGGTTGGTGGTGGAATTAATGTGTGCTCTCTTCTTTATAAATGTGTCCCTTCCCAAATACAGTATCTGATTTGGGGCCATGTATAAATGTATAAATATTTGCCATGTAGTCCTACTCTTATGTCTGAGGGAGTGGACTTGTCCATGAAAGCTCAGATTAAAATATAGCAGCTAGTTTTTAAGGTGCTACAATGTTTTTGTCATCTTCATTTTTTATTTTTCTTGGTTTTTGCTTGATATGCTAGCACAGACTAACTCTTCTAAAACTACAAAAATGGTAAATGATCCAATCTGCACAGAACCCTTTTCTGTCTTTACACCCCATCTCCTGGCTTACTTTGATGGCAGCTGTTGCTATCTGAATGTGGTGGAGGCGTCTTAATGTGCTTTCACGGTCAATGAAGTAAGAGGCTGCCAGTTGGTGCAGTGTTTCCAAGGAGATGGAAATGTTAGTCCCACCACTTCCTGATGGCCCTCCAGCTTCTGCTTTCCGATTGAGCTTGTGCTTGTCCACAAAAATGGTCAGGGACTCTTCTCCTGCAAAGACATTAGGAGGTGTGATTAGTCTGTTTTGCATACAGATCAAGAAACACCTGCTTTGGCGCTCAATGAGTGTACCGTATTTTTTCATGTATAAGACTATACAGTGGACCCTTGACTTACAGACAGCTTGACTTACAGACTTTTTGAGTTACAGACTTCTCTGGCCGCAAAATTCAGGTTTGACTTGCAGCCTGAGAATTGACTTACAGACCAGAAAAAACCAAAATGGAATAAAAACGGCCTGTTACGGGATTAATTGGTTTTCAATGCACTGTAGGTCAATGGAGACTTGACCTACAGACTTTTTGACTTGAGAACCGCCTTCCAATACGGATTAAGTTCTCAAGTCAAGACCCCACTGTACTTTTGACTAAAATCTTTAGACTAAAAATTGAGGGTCGTCTTATACATGGAAGGAAGCTGAGGAGAGAACAAAAACAAGCAGGAATCAAAGCGATCCTGCAGCGCTTTGATCCCTTTCCCCCTACACTTGCTAAGCCCCACTTATTTTTCTTAATTTCGGATTAGAAAAGTGGGGGGTGTCCTTGCTATTGCCCATTCCTGTTCTTATGGCTCCCAGTGAGGACTGTTTGAAGGTGTCGCCTAGCAGCAGCCATCTCTACCTCCTCTCCCGCATTGACTACAGAAGTGAGTTGAGGAACCAGGTGATAACGAGGGTTGAGGGCTGTGGCAAGTGGGAGGGAAAGGTGGGGGACTTCCATGAATAATTAACAAAACAAACAAACACAGGTGGGGCTGTGGAGTGGGCATCAATGGGTGTTACTAAAACTCACATTTCAATAAATTGTACAGGAGTTGTATATTTGAATATCTGCTTTCCATCATTTCTAGACTTTGATAATAGACTTTTACTTTCAGAGCTACCATATTTTTTCGTGTATAAGACAATACTTTTGTCTCAAATCTTTAGATTAAAAATTGAGGGTCGTCATATACACGGAAGTAAGGAGGGAGGAAAGGATCAAAGTGTGTCGATCCCTGCTTTATGCCTCCACTTTTTGCGAATAAATTGGAGGGGGAAAGCACTTTCCTCACAAGAAAGTGAGGAATCATCAAAGCACTTTGATTCCTGCTTTCCCCCACTTTCTTCCAGTACCTTATGCTTTACCAAGAAAGTGGAGGGGAAAAGCACTTTCCTCACAAGAAAGTGGAGGGGGGAAACAGAAATCATCAAAGTACTTTAATTCCTGCTTTTCCCCCACTTTCTTGTGAGGAAAGTGCTTTCCCCCTCCACTTTCTTCACAAAAAGTGGAGGGGGAAAGCAGGAATCAAAGCACTTTGATGATTCATGCTTTTCCCCTCCACTTTCTTGTGAGGAAACTTTCTTGTGAAAAAAATGGAGGGGGAAAGCACTTTCCTCGCAAGAAAGTGGAGGGGGAAAGCAGGAACCAAAGTGTTTTGATCCCTGCCTTCCCCACCCACTTTTTTTTGCAAAGAAAGAAATTTTGGGTTAGAAAAGTGGGGGGGGCGGACATTTTATACATGGGAGCATCTAATACACAGAAAAATAAAGTACTGTAGTTATTACTTACGTTAATAAACCAGTACAGTGGAGTCTTGAGTTACGAACGGCCCGAGGTATGAACTTTTTGAGTTACGTACTTCTCCGTCCGCAAAAATCCATTTTGACTTGCGGACGGAGAATTGAGGTACGAACCCAAAAGTTTAAAAAAGCGGGAAAGCACCTGGAGCCGGGTGGCAGCGGCGCAGCGAGAGGCAGCGGCGCTGCTCCTGCTCCGGGATTGGGGCACCTCGGAGCTTTCCGGCCGCCAGAATTCCAGCCCGGCCGGGGCCTCTGCCTGTCCTGGGTGGGCCCCGCTGAGCCGAGCTCCGGCGGCGGTGGCAAAAGGCAGCGGCAAGGACGGCGCAGGAGCCTCCAAGCACCCCGGTGAGCCCGCGCAGGAGGGCGGGAGCGAGTTGCGGAGTGGCACTGTCGCTGGGAGGGCTCCGCGCCGGAGAACTAGGCGGGCGCCGGCAGCGGGTAATGGAAACAGGGGAGGAGAGCAAGGAGGGCGAGTGTGGCGCGGTTGGGTGGGCGATGGCTGCCTGAATGAAGGGAAGCCGGCTGGGGCTGTAAACGGAGGCCGGGCGGGGAGGGAGGGAGCGCCGCGGGGAGCCTTGATGGCCGGGCACCGTGTGCTGCTGCTGCTCCCATCTCCACCCGGCCCATTCCCCCGGAGCTCGGAGGAAATGGCTGGGCTGCCTGTTTCGCCTTCCTGGGGTTACAAAATATCCCCCTCTAGTGGCAGAAGGCGGAACAGCAGCTTCCCATTACTTTCTATGGACGGTACAGAGCAGATACGGATTACAATGGTTTTCAATGCATTCCTATGGGAATGCAGATTTTGACCTGCGAACGTTTTGACTTGCGAACCACCTTCCAATACGGATTAATTTCACAAGTCAAGACCCCACTGTAATAATCGAATGAGGAGAATTATATGATAAAGAGCAGATACATTTATATAGTTTTACAAATACAACCGGCCCTTTGAGGGCAACTATAATGCCGATGAGGCCCAAGATGAAATTGAGTTTGACACTTCTGTGATAGATACTACAGCTGCCTGAGCCCTCAAAGCTTGGTAAAGCATAAGGTACTGGAAGTTTGTGGGGATCAGATCTGGAGAAGTCCAATCCTCACAAATTTCCTACACCTTCTACTTTGCCAAGCTGTGTGGGCTCAGGGAGCTGCTTTATCAAACTTGCTATTATCTTAAGTATGTATGTTGGATTGCTCTACTCCAGCCAACTCTCACTGAACAATTGAATTAAAGCTTTTCTCTGTTCTGGGCCATTTCTTCAGAAATAACTAACAACAGTTTAGTTACCCCATATGCATGTCAACAGACACTTCAGGGGTGTGGGGGAGGGGGCTGCATGCACACATGCTTGGCTGTGCTGATGAATCCAGTGAAGATTCATTAACCGCCAGTGAGAAGGCACCAAAAATTACACCATTTGCCTTTTGCATCCATAATAAAGCAGGATTTGAGCTATTAATATGTCAATAACTGTCTTCAACCTCCTAGCAAACATGTCTTGTAAAGCTGGCCCTGTCATTTGGTAGAGGCAGGCAGCCCTTGCAAGCAGAAGATTCTCAGTGTCAAGAAAGGGGAGGAAATTATTTAGCTATTTAGTTTATTTTTATTGCAGTGCATGAGGGAGCTACTCATGGAATGTTCTGCTTCCTCTGCTAAGATGACTTTCTTGACTTTAAATACTATGCATCTTTATCTGGGTGTGGATGCTATGTGCTGTTTTGCCTCTGGCAAAAAGTGCCACTAGGCTACTCCTGTTTTGTTCCTATTCGTAGAGTAAATCTCATAAAGCACAGGAAACCAGCTTTCAAGTAAACACTGGATCCACCCTGGTTTTTTTTTTGGGGGGGGGAAATGCATGTTTATACATCATTAATTTGGAGTAAGCGCCTCTAAACACATTGCCCTATAGCAGAGGTCTTCAAACTGTTCAGAGTGAGGGCCACAATATATATGTTTCAGATTTTGGAGGGCCAAACATGCATGGACATACACGCACACTCCTGCCCGCACTCCCACCCACTCACATGCACACACTCCCGCCTACCCACCTGCCTGCCTTTCCACATGCATCACCACTCTTCGCATTTTCTCCACTCTACCTGATGCAGCATCACCACTCTGCATTTTCTCCACTGCTACCTACATGTAATGCAGAATTACACCAATTCAAAACAATGCCAATTCCAAAATCATCAAAAAGACAAGGGGCATAGAAACAGACACAAACACCCATACACATGCATACAGAGATACACAAAGTACTGAATCAGGATACTCAGTTGATATGGCTTGAGACCCATAGAGAGAGAGCTCACAGAAAGAAAGCTGAACATTCACCTCCAAGAGTAGCTGAGAGCAGGAAGTGGGTACCGTATTTTTTAATCAAGTTCTCGGTGACCTGTTGAAGGCTAGGCCGGCGCCCCAGAAGGCGAATATTGCGGATGAATTCTGGAGCCAGAGGCAGAGGCAAGCTGAAGAAATCTTTCCTTTCCAGTGCCAAGTTATTCACTTTCCAACGAGCAAATTCTCTGGAGGGGAAGCCAGAAAGAGCAATAATAAATTAAGCACATTATATTCAGAGCTTTCCATGATTTTTTTAAATAAGTAAAAAAGAGTAAGCTTCTAGACCAGCCATTCTCAATAGGGGGCCCTGGCACATTTGAAGGGGGGCATAGACTGAAATCTGTGAGAAGGGGGATCCCCAAAGGTTTGTGGGGCCCCCAATAACTAAATTGATTAAATACCCAAGCAGCCTGGGCCTGACCCTTTGTGCAGCCTCCCTGATGTTTTCATGGCTTTCTTAGAACAGAATAGGGGCAACTCTACATGCTACCTCCCCAGTGATTTTTTTTAATTGGAAGTCATCCTGCCTGTTTTTGATTGGAAGCCAGCCATGATTGCAACCTAACTGAGGCAACTCTGCCTGTTGCCTACCCAGCAACTGATGAAGGCACCCTGCCTGTTTTTATTGAAAGCTCTCTCTCTCTGTGTGTGTGTAGCTTAACTCACTGACTGTGCTGGAGAAGAAAGGAGTAGTGCAGAAAAGCAAGGTTATTTTTCTTTTTTACTTGTATACGTAATGGTTTGTGTATTTGTGTGGAATGAGCGGAATGAGTCAGAAAGCCAGTAGTAGAGTAGTAGAGTGTGACTTACAGCATCTCTCTCTCTCGGGAGCCTTTCTCTGTCTCTTTTCCCTCTAAGGGGCAAGGGGTCTGCTGGGCTCATTTCATAAGTTGCTCTAAGAGTAAGTTAATAACCAGATATAGCAAATACATTTGTGTATAAATCAACCCAGGTTTTTAGGATCAATTTTAAAGACACAAGTATATGGTATATAGTATTTGTTCACTATTTTCTTTTAAAATTTTCCTATTTTTGATTAATTTCATAATTCATAATTTGATTAAATTCATAATTTTTGATTAATTTTATAATATAAATAATTCTACCCATCAGTTCCTTGGTGAAAAAAATGTTCGCAGTATGCTGTGGAATATTTATCATGTGGTTTTTTAATATATATTTTATTGATTTAATATACTACTAAACATACAACTAAATCATCAGCACACAAAAAGAAAAACCCTTCTACTAAGTTAAGCCTTTGGAGTCAGAGACTCCAAGCTTCATTGACCTTCCGTTCTCTCCAGCTGAGTTCCCAGTGCGATCTGAATGCATATACATATATAGTCAAATCTGCCCTACACTCCTGTCCTCCTCTGGGCCCAAGAGTATATTAGTTTCCAGCTTTGTTTTACATAGTCTCTTGATTGTTCCTGCAGTGCTTCTGATGGTATGTCCGGATCTGCTATGTCCCATAGATTCTTTAACAACTCTTCTATCGTTGGAGTTTCTTCGCTTTTCCATTTTTGGGCTCAGAGTAATCTGGCTGCTGTGAGTATGTTATGTTAGACAATATTTCATTTTTTTTATAATTGATTCCTGGCATGATAATCAATAATGCCATTTCAGGTTTTATATCTAATTTCTGCTGAGTAATTTCTTTCACTGTTTCCCACACCTGTGTCCAATAGACTTTTTCTCATGTCCACCACATATGATAATAAGTTCCTGCAATTTTTTTACACTTCCAACACATATTGCTGTTACCTTCTGACATTTTGCCAGTCTTACAGGTGTATAATGCCATCTATAAAACATTTTGAGGACATTTTCTCTAAGATTTACTGTTTTAATCATCTTATAACTTTCTTTCCACATCTTAATCCAATCATAAAGACCTTTGTTATATCCAAAAAATTTTGCCCATTTTACCATCATCTCTTTCACCTTCTCATCCTCTAAATCATATTCTAATAAGTATGTATACATTTTTTAAATTATTTTTTCGTCAGTATATTTCCACAGTCTGTCCACCCGCACTTTGCCCTCAAAGAAACCCACAGTCCTATCTTTTTTGTATCTTGATTCTAATTTCACCATTGACCACCAATCAACAGCCACACCCAATTTTTCTAACTCTTGTTTATCCTTTATCTTTTGTTCTTTAGTTAACAGATTTTCATATGTGGTCAGTGCTCCTTTCTGGTTCAACACTTTTAATGTGAATGCTTCTATAGGCGCCACCCACGTTTAATGCGTTCCTATTGGGGGAAAACTCACCGCTATGCGGGGAATCCTCCATCCGGCCGCCATTTTCGCCGCCCGGTAAGCGAGAGCAGGGCGCGAAAACGCTGCAGGTGGCCATTTTGTTGACCCAGTGGCCATTTTGGAACCGCTGATCAGCTGTTTGTAAAACATCCCAATGCGAAGATCGGTAAGTGAAACGCTTACCGATCATCGCAATGCAATGTTTTCCCTATCTAAAACATCGCGATGTGATCGCATTAGCGATCGCAAAAAACGCATCGCTATGCGGATTCGTCGTTAAACGGTGCGCTCGTTAAGCGAGGCACCACTGTAATATAGTAACCAATTCAGTAGTCCTGCTCCCCCCCTTTCTTTCAGGTCTTGTAGCAATTTAAGTTTTATTCTTGGCTTCTTAGGCTTCCAGACAAAATTTGATGCTAAGCTGTCCAAGTCCTTAAAATACTTAAAGTTCAATAGTATTGGGAGATTTTGAGATAGGAATAATAGTTTTGGTAAGGTCATCATTTTTATTGTTGATATTCTTCCCATAAATGAGAGTTGTAGTTTGCTCCATTCCTCAAGATTTTTCTGAATTTCTTTCTGTATTGCTAAATAATTTTCTTTCATTAAATTGCTTGGTTTTTTGGTGATGACAACTCCTAAGTATTTAATTTTTTTCACCGCCTCAAAATTGGAGTTCCATGCTAATTTTTCAACATCTTCTTTCTTTATGTTTTTGTCATAAATTTTGGTTTTTAATAATTTACTTTAAATCCAGCCACCTGTCCAAATTCTTCTATGACTCTCAATAACCCTTCGAGGTTTTCTAGGGGATTTTCTAGTATTATAGCTAAGTCATCCGCATACGCTTGTAGCTTAAATTCTTCTCCTCTGATATTAAGTGACTAACAGTATATCTCTCTCTCAGGAGCCTTTCTCTGTGTCTCTTCCCTCTAAGGGGCAAGGGGTCTGCTGGGCTCATTTCATAAGTTGCTCTAAGAGTAAGTTAATAACCAGATATAGCAAATACATTTGTGTATAAATCAACCCAGGTTTTTAGGATCAATTTTAAAGACACAAGTATATGGTATACAGTATTTGTTCACTATTTTCTTCTTTTAAAAATTTCCTATTTTTGATTAATTTCATAATTCATAATTTGATTAAATTCATTATTTTGATTAATTTCATAATATGTAATTCTACCCATCAGTTCCTTGGTGAAAAAAATGTTCGCAGTATACTGTGGAATATTTATCATATGGTTTCATTGCATCTCTACAAAACCCGTCTTTGCTTATGTGTTTGAACTTCATGACTACATTTTCAAATGAAAGCATGAGGGCAATCAAATTGAAATAACATTTGGATACCGTGCATCTAGTGAAGAAAGATAACCCTTTGGATTTCTTCAAAAACCTTCAAGAAAATTCTGAGAGAAGGCCAACACTGACACAAATTCTTCAAATGACTCAGAAATTAGACAACTGTCTTGTTGTATCCTATAAAATTAATAAACTGACTGCTAAAACTGGAAGTGTTCACAACATTGGTGAGTTGCTTATCCTGCCTTCAATAATATAAGATATAATAATTTTTGCTGTCATGAATTTGAGTGCCAAAGAAACAATTTTGAGTAACTCCAGTGTTGCCAGAAGAATCAATAAGATGGCACCTACCATTCAAGAGTGATTGGTCAGTTCAGTCCCACCCAAGAAATTCTACTTCCAGTTAGATGAAACTATTTTACAAAATAATGATGCTCTTCTCATGGGATTCTGGAACTGTAACAAACTGATGGAAGAGATGTTTTGCTCAGAGAATTAAAATGGATACTAAGTGACTGTCTATTTTTGAAGAAGTCAAAAACTACTGAAGTGAGAACAATATTCCAAATGAGAATATGCAACTGATGGTGCTGTAAAAAGAGTTATACCTTCTGCCTTTACTATTCATTGCATTATTCATAGGGAGCACCTATTGTCTAAGAACTTGGGAGGATGCCTCAATATTTCACTTTCAATTGTCATAAAGGCTGTAAACTTCATCAAATCCCACACCCTTCAGAATCATCTTTTCTAACAGTTATGTGAGGAAAATAAAGAAGACTTCCAAATGCTGGTTCTGCATACCAAGGTTAGGTGACTTTTCGAGGAAAACTGCCTTCAATATTTTGTTACACTCTTTGACATTATAGTTTCCTTCATGTCTGATAAAGAGCATGGAGAAAAGAGAATGCAGACATATTTTATCTGGCAAATATTTTTCAGAAACTTAATTTGTTACACAAGAACTTACATGGCAAAACAGCAACCTTGTAGATAGTAAGGAAGCCATTGTTTCTTTCCTCTCCTTTCGAGTTCCTAAGAAACTCATGGTCTACTGGCACAATAAAGGATATCCAGAATTCTTAGAATTTCTAAACCTGAAGACAATCACAGAGGTACTGAAGGATGATGACCTTATTGTTTATTTGAAGCATCTCAAGCAGATACATAAGGATATGCAAGAAAGACTTAATGATCTGTTAAACTTGAGTATCCTGGAGTGCATTTTGAATCCATCTAAAGTACAACCCACCCAAGTTGAGGCAGGAATTCAAGAGAGTTTGATTGATCTTCAGAGTGATTTAACTGCACATTGTCGGTCCAGTCAGTTTCAAAAAGATTTCTGATCAAGAGTGATCTGCCAAATAAATGTCCAACACTGTGAGAGAAAGCCCAAAATTTATATTGCCTTTCCCTCAATATATTTGGTTGAATGTGGATTCAGCACAGTAGTTTATTTGATAAAATCCAGGAACAGAATCAATATTGTGACAAAAAGTGACCTCCGACTATCATTGTCTAATTTGGAGCCTGATATCGTGAAACTTGCAGAAAAACACCAAGCTCAAGGATCGTATTAGGCCTAACAGACTTTTAATTTCATACAGTCT